GATTGTTCTTGCTGTGTGAAATAAACTCTGTTTGTAAAAAGACTGGACATCATTGTGTTTATGAGATGACAGCTTCTTTTTTAAGTGGCTGCATTTGACAATGTGCTTTCGAGATACAGGCTGGACAGGAACTGGATTAATCCTGTTTTTTTTTACCTGCCAGATGTGTTTTTCTCTAATTTGTTTCCCAGAATTCATGTACAGTAAGTAATTACAGGAGTCAGCAGTGCAGTCACTAAGTACTGGGATGTATAATTAAACTTTCTAACTTGATTAATCGATTGTGGGAGTCTCTTACAAAAAAAGGTACTGTAAGACCATGGTTTCATGGATACTCATATATGAAGGTATTTATATGGTGTATTTAAAAGAATATCAGTGCTTGTTTTATATTCAAAAACATGGTATCACTACAGTATTTTAGCTAGTGAGCATATGCTTTCCAGTCTGTAGTGCTGTCCTGTACAAAAGGAGAGGCTCGTTTTGATGAGGTTTTCTTCCTCTCTTCATTTCTCATCCTGGTGTGATCAATACTGAGGGTTTCTGAGTGTCTCTGTTTGCTTAATGAGAACAGTGCTCTGTGTTAGCAGACAGCACTCTCTTAATGAGACTCCATAAGTCATTTCAACAGCTGGCAGCTTTCACATGCAGTATACTGCTGTGTAGGATTGTTTTATTCATATAGCTACTTAATCATACATTATAACAATAGAACAATGTCAAATAAGTAACTAAATATGCTTGTTCAAAAAATAACAAAATTGGGAATGATTTGAAGCAAAACGAGGCAAGATTGTTACCCCTTAATAATTCCATTAATCATTTAATGCATCATATGGTTAAATAGATTAACAGCAGTTCGGATTAATAGGGAGGTGATTTAAATGAAAATATAATGAATTATTTTTAATCTCATCTGTAGTAGGCTTGGATTAGGTTATTGGTTTATATAACCCTGAAAAAGTCAATGACATTTGATGCGTTGAACTCTCTAACTGCACACAGTGACAGGAAACAGCAGCTTCAGTCGTCTTGTCTGATTGACGAGAGTTCACTGTCCTTTGTAAACTATGTGTTTTGAGACATTTGTGGTTGATTTGCTCCATGTGTTTGCTCTTTGACTTTCTTTCAATGACCTTGGTTGCAAAATTAATCTCTTTTTGGTCCAGGCCTGTCCCTGGGGTGCATTAAAAGTCTCCGAGGGTCTGCTGGTTTTACTTGCACCTTTTAGGGGCTTAATAAAAACAAGCCTTGAGACCCAAATCTTAATGACACCAGGGAATTTCCGCATGAAACTTTGCATGCAAGTTACAGTGTTCCTGGAAGACCAGAAAAGTTCTGGGAAAACTAAACTAGACTGGTGCGACTCTTTCTTGCTATTTTGAAATTTCCTGTAACATAAACTGTCATTCTGTTTATTCAGACACAACATCTGCACATGAGGTTTGAATTATCACTATATATATTACTATATCTAATAGAAGGCCTTATTTACTAATGATGATTACATTAATTATTACATTAGTTTAAATACATGATACACTTAAAAATTTATTTAAATAAAAATGTATATCAATAATGGATAAATGTCATTAAATTAAAAATATGTTTTTAAAGTACAGTTTAGTTTTATATTAATACATATTAAGTATAAATGTATCGTATTGTAAAAAGCGCTATATAAATAACGGTGACTTGACTATCAGCTATATTTAAGGTACTTATAGCCTCAATAATAAGTAAACTATCATTCCCATTGTATTTTGCTTACAAAATGAATTATTAAAAATTGTCTGTACTTCAATCTCTAACACTATCAAAATCCTTTATCCTGTCATTTACATTTTTAAAGAGTTTCAAGAATGTTTTAGGTAACTTTTGACTGATCAGTAATGGCAAAAAGCTTGTTTTCAGCTTGCCATCCTTCCATACAATACTTCAATTTCAATTCACAGTAAAAGCTCACACACTGACTACTGAAGGTTCACGTTTTATGGTCAATGTCGCCCCCAATTGGACAACAGTTTGAATTACTTTAACATACAAAGGACCTAGAAAAATTAAATATCTACAAATAATGCAAATAAAGATTAGAACATGAATAAACAAATAATTGTATAAACAAATAAATAAATGGTTTTTTTTTTTTTACTAATTAGTTTGTACTAGTTGATTTAGTTCTTACTGAGGTTGCTTCCGAGCTCGTAACAAACTGTTGGGAATTTTTGTCATAAGTCTTCAAATGGAATCATATTTCATTAACTTGCCCACTTGTTTCTCAGGTTTGTTTACTTTGGCAAGTACATCATGCATAACTTCACACTGGCAAATGGCAAATGTTCTGCCTTTCACTTGTGTCAGAAACAATCTTGCTTGTAACAACACTACATATGAATGGTATGAACTTTTTTTCTCTTTCAGACAGACAGACAGACAGACAGAGATAGATAGATAGATAGATAGATAGAGAGATAGATAGAGAGATAGAGAGAGAGATAGATAGAAGGAGGATGGGTGAGAAACAGTACAGTATAAGTGTGTCCTGTAGCTGTGTGTTTTCCCCTGAGGGTTGAGAGTGTGAATGTGGACCACTGCATTTTCTCTCTTGTAGGCTGCAGTTACTGTACCATGTAACACTTTGACTCATTTACATATAAAATCACACATTATTCTCAGCTATTACAACTGTACTATATGTTAAACGTGAAACTCATTTTGCACTGAACTCATAAAAGGTGATAAGGTGCTTACACATTTCGCATGAATGTTTTAGATAGAATTGTTATATTAAACACATTGAATTCAATGTTAAATTAATCAGAGACCGATTTGCTTCTAGAAGAAATCTGATTCCTTAAATAATTTTTATATCGATCTTTATTGTCGTTGACTTATCTGGCCACTAGATGACCTGCTTTCACACTTTATTGTAAAACTGTACTATATGTTAAACGTGAAACTCATTTTGCACTGAACTCATAAAAGGTGATAAGGTGCTTACACATTTCGCATGAATGTTTTAGATAGAATTGTTATATTAAACACATTAAATTCAATGTTAAATTAATCAGAGACCGATTTGCTTCTAGAAGAAATCTGATTCCTTAAATAATTTTGATATCGATCTTTATTGTCGTTGACTTATCTGGCCACTAGATGACCTGCTTTCACACTTTATTGTAACACGTCTTGCAACCAACGTCGAAACGTAGAACTGTTCAACCCTGAGGAAATATTAAACTAACTGAGACTTGTCATAGCACGTGCATATCATTGCTCTTTTGTTGTATTTGATTGTTTCCATTGTCCTCATTTGTATAAAACCTCATTTGTATAATTGCTTTGGATAAAAGCGTCTGCTAAATGACTAAATGTAAATGTAAATTCATTTTAATAATGAAAGTTGATGAGCATGCTCTGTTTACTTTATTATTCGTTATTAAATATTTATTTCTAAATATATTCTGCGTTCAAATGGTTTGTCTTGACATGTTAAAACATTACCGGACAGCTAATATGAGTTTTGAAACATATGGTGTTTGAGTATTAAAGTATTAAGAACAGCGGTTTGTGAGGATTAATTGTGAAATACCTCGTCAATGCTAGAACATTCCAGCACGTTCCAGTGTGGACTGTAGTCCGAACAAACAGCAGCCAGTTTGGACCATAACCGTTTAACTGTCTCTAGTGTTTCAATAACCACAAATTTTCTCTCTTGTAGGCTGCAGTTACTGTACCATGTAACACTTTGACTCATTTACATATAAAATCACACATTATTCTCAGCTATTACAACTGTACTATATGTTAAACGTGAAACTCATTTTGCACTGAACTCATAAAAGGTGATAAGGTGCTTACACATTTCGCATGAATGTTTTAGATAGAATTGTTATATTAAACACATTGAATTCAATGTTAAATTAATCAGAGACCGATTTGCTTCTAGAAGAAATCTGATTCCTTAAATAATTTTGATATCGATCTTTATTGTCGTTGACTTATCTGGCCACTAGATGACCTGCTTTCACACTTTATTGTAACACGTCTTGCAACCAACGTCGAAACGTAGAACTGTTCAACCCTGAGGAAATATTAAACTAACTGAGACTTGTCATAGCACGTGCATATCATTGCTCTTTTGTTGTATTTGATTGTTTCCATTGTCCTCATTTGTATAAAACCTCATTTGTATAATTGCTTTGGATAAAAGTATTAAAGTATTAAGAACAGCGGTTTGTGAGGATTAATTGTGAAATACCTCGTCACTGCTAGAACATTCCAGCACGTTCCAGTGTGGACTGTAGTCCGAACAAACAGCAGCCAGTTTGGACCATAACCGTTTAACTGTCTCTAGTGTTTCAATAACCACAAAATTCAGAATCAAAGTTAGTCAGAGCGCACTATAAACGCTCCCGAAAGGAAATCGCTTTTGCTTAAAGAGGTAACCATAGCAACAGGCCGCTCGACCCCTTTCCGCCGGCGACGGACGTTACGCAGTTACGGTTACGCAGATAACATGTTATAATTTTTTTTATATTCTTATAATATTATCTGTATACATTTATACACATTTATATATCGCAAGAATATCTTTTTTAAATTAAACCTCGACAACATATCGCAAGTAGCTATATCATAAAAAGCTTGTTTAAAAAAGTCTGACGCGAAGAAATTCCCTTACAATGTTCAAAGGCCCTGAATAATTCGCACACTACGACAGTTTCCTTATTAATTAAACTGAGAGTGGAGACTTAATTAGCACGGACAGGGAAATGCAAATTAGAGCTGGACATAATTACCAGCGTTTTACACATAATCTGTTCGCAAATATGTTGAGAAACAGTTAATGGTCACACTACAGTGTCGCTGCATCAAACCGATGCCTGCACACATGCGTGTCGCTAAGACACGCCCACTCGCCGGCGAGAGCGACGCCGATTGGCTGCTATACATACCAGCGGGCCTTGCTATTTCAGGATTGGCGGATCCGCGCTTTGCCATTACGTTATGCTCTTTTCTACACATACACAAGGATGATAGAAAGAGAAGACGTAATGGAGTGTTCCTGAGCGTCCTTGCGATGAAAATCACTTTAGTATTCGACAGTATTCGAGGAAGGGAGTTGCAATGAAGGTATGTAAAAAGAAGTAGATGTCAGATTTGTTATTGATGTAGGCGAGATTTGCCATCTGCGTGGAAACACCAAAATAATTTCCGGAGGCTGTTTGACGTTTAATATGTCAACAGCCAGACTTCTTAAGAGTTGCATCAGTTTGAATGCGTCAAATGACGTCTGCAAATAGCAATGCGTGCGTTCTTCCGTCTTCTGCATGCTCTTGCATTAACAGTGTTTGCTTGGGTGACAGCTGCATTTATGATCGTTTAGCAGGAGATTTGCTACTATCGGTATCAGTAGATATCAGGACAGGTGCAGCTTGATTTGTCCAGTGGACGCTTGGAACAGAGTGTGCAAGCAAGCAGTGCTCATCATAACCCAGTTTATCGCAGCACTTCTCTAATGAGATTGGAGGATAGTCTCTGCCAGCAGTCACTGGATGAGTTGATATGAATGGACAAGCAGCTCAGACAGACAGTCATGAGGGACAGAAGTGGTTTCCCCTTCTAAAACGTCACAATTAAATAATAGCAGAGGGATTATTACGTCAGAATAGCGATACAAGTATTGCGATTGTGACAACAGCCAGGCGAATATCAGTGGACAGTGAGGAGGGACAAAAGTGGTTTTCCCTGCTGAAATGTCGCCATTTAATTACGTGCTTGGTGATTATGACGTCAGAATCGTGATGAAATGATTGTGATTCTGATGTAATGTAATGATTGGGCATGCAGTCATGAGGGACAGAAGTGATTTCCCTTCTGAGTGATTATGACAAATGATTGTGATAACAGTCAGGCAATATCAGTGGACCGGTAATTCAGATATGTTTTTCACGTACTAAAATGTGTTGATTTTAATGAAGTGCATGGTGATTATGATATCAGAACGTCATAGTGATTATTATGATTCTGAATGTGATGATTGCTAGACTCGTTCATGAGAGGCAGACATGATTTCCCCAACTAAAATGTCACAATTAAATTATAACACGGTGATTATGACGTCAGAATCGATTGTGATTGTGATAAGAGTCAGGATATTATCAATGGACCGGAGTAGTTATGAAAATGATTGTGATTGTGATGAGGGCTAGACTCAAGAATGCAGTTAACAGTCATAAAAGAATGAAAGTGGTTTAACTAATAAGATGTCACTTCTGAAATATGGCATAGTGATTATGACATCAGAATAGTGATAACAATGTTTATTCTGTTTGTGATACAGTGGGGAAAATATTTATTTGATCCCCTGCTGATTTTGTAAGTTTGCCCACTTACAAAGAAATGAAGGGTCTGTAATTTTTATGGTAGGTTTATTTTAATGGATAGAGACAGAATACCAACCAAAAAAATCCAGAAAAAACACATTATATAAAGGTTAGAGATTGATTTGCATTTCAGTGAGTGAAATAAGTATTTGATCCTCTACCAACCAGCAAGGATTCTGGCTCCCACAGACTGGTTATGTGCCCATGTGGAACATAGATTAGTCCTGCCACTTTAAGAAGTTACTCCTAATGTCAGCTCGTTAGGTGTATAAGACACCTGTCCACACAAACTGTATCTTCCATTCCAACCTCTCCCAGTCGTATAGTTCTATTAAGAGATTAAAATATTAGTCCTATTCTCCTATTAAGAGATTAAAATATCAGTCCTATTGTTCTATTAAGAGATTAAATATCAGTCTCTATTGTTCTATTAAGAGATTTAATATTAGTCGCTATTGATCTATTAAGAGATTAAATATTAGTCGCTAATGTTCTATTAAGACAAGTGAGAGTGAGAGTTTAGCGCTGTGTGACATTCATTTTGAAATGTCATGGTTATTGCCAATACGGGTATATCACAACACCCCTAATTAACACGATTACGATA